TAAGAAGTTTTAAAAAGGAGTTAAGGTTGTAATCCAAGGTGTATTGTAATTTCAGCAAGAAATCATTGGTGGCTCAGTGAACAAAGTAATGTTATAGCTGCTGGGCTGGTGTCTTGGGGAGCTGGAAGGAGAGGATTGCTGCTTGCTGCCCTCCTGCACAGCTCATAGGGCCATTGGGTGTGTCTTACAGAAACTCTGACCTGGGCTGGGCACTGCCTCTGTTCCCTGATAAGCAGAGCAAAGGGTTGGGCTGTAGCGTGAGAGGAGCTTCCAGGCAGTATATCAAGTGGAGGCCCTAAAGTCTGTGTCCCTTTTGTTAGCTCTTTCTCACTTTGTGTTGTTTGGAACTGGGGCTGGGCTGGGCTGGGAGGGAGAGCTGGGGAATCTGGAGGCTGTAGTCTCCCTGCAGCTCTACCTTTCAATACAGGTGTGATAAGAAGGTAGCATGAATCTTATGTATGTAGTTTAAATCCTGACAATTAATATACATTGAGTAAGATTTAGCTGCTGCTACTTCTTTTTTCTTTAAGGATCTCCAACATTTCATGACCCTGGGAAGTTTCCCTGATATATAGTGGAGGTAGTGACTGAGAGGAGTGTCTGAGGGCCTGCTTTAGCTGTGTGAGCCTGTGCTACCACCACACCCAGGGCAGCTGCTGGGTGATCCATGTAACTGCTTATGCTTCGAGCAGGGAGCAAAGTCCACAGGGTAGGCACTTCCTGCTCAGGTTGCTGGGGTAGCTTTCGCTTTAGATAGTGCCAGAACCAGGAGAGGGGCTGGTGCTCGTGGCTGGGAGGGCTCAGTGGACCCCGGGGCCAGGGCTCTGCTGAGGCTGCTGCAGCTGTGCCCACTCTGCTGCAATGATCTTCTGGGAGCCTATGGTATCCTCAGAGTAGGAGCCCTGAGCCCAGCAGTGAACCTGGAAGTGGATTCAGTGACTCTGAGGGCAGGTGGCACCTTGGAGAGTAGATATCCTGGCTTCTGGGGTCTCTGTGGCTCTGAAGTTTCTGGATCTGATGTGTTTAGAGATTCTGCAGGAAGCTACTGCCATTCACATTGGAGACAAACAGGAGCAGGTAAGCTGGCTTGAGGATGCCTGTGAGGGAGGAGGAGGTGGATGGGAGCAGCTGCCTGGGAAGAGGCTGAGAATGTTGAGAGGAACAGGGTGGCAGGAGAGGGAGGCTGGAACAAGTCTCATCCAGGAAGTAGATAAGACCCAAGAAGACCAAGGACAACCTTAGTATGCCACGTGTCCTTATTCATTTCTTTTAATTCTATTTTTTACCATCTAGGACTACATTTCTCCTTTCTTCCTTCCATTGTTCATTTGTTCATTTGTTTATGCCTTCCTGCCTTCTTTCCTTCTTATTTTCTCTTTCTTTCCCTCTTTCTAATTTCCCTATTTTAAAAAATTTCATTTATTTTCTTTAAAGCACAGTTATAGAGAAAATGAAAGATATCATTTATCTGCTTGTTTATTCCCAAAATGGCTGTAATCGCCAGGACTAGATCAGGCTGAAGCCAGAAGTCTGGAATTTTTTCCTGGGTTTCCTTCATGGGTTTCAGTTTCCTAAGCACTTGGGCCAATTTCTGCTATTTTTTCAATCATGTTACTAGGTAGCTGGATCTAAACTGGAGTGTCTGGGAATGGAACCAGTACCCATATGCAATGTGCAGCATATACAGTTATACCACAGCAATGGCCCTTACATTCTGTTCAAATTGTATGTTGTAACTGTTCTAATACAAAGTCATGTCACTCTAACTGCACTGTGGGTGGTTGAGGCTGCTACCTCTTCTTTGGCCAACAAGAAAAGAACCAAGAAATGCCAAGGACTGTGCCTGAAGTGGTGACACTGTGGCTGAGCTGCGTGGAGCCCAGTAGAGGGGCCCTTGAACCTGTCCTTCTAGGATCAAAGCTGCCCTCTTCCCCTTTCTCCTACAGTGGATGGGATCTTTTTTTGACCATGGCTCATGTCCTTGTCTCTGTGGCCTCATTCCAGGGTCCTTAAATGCTCATGGAGAAATCATCCTACACATAATGGGTATTCACCTGTCACTGGGGAACTGTTTGGGTACCTGTTGAATGTGGGGCTTGTTCTGGGTCCATGCAGGAAGGGGCTGGATTGGGATTCCAAGTGATTTGACATCACAGGCAAAAAGCCAGACAGGCTGCTGGGTGCCTGTAATGGGCACATGGGCTCTGTGAGGATTGGGATTGAAGATCCTATAGGAGATACCGTCATCTGTGAAGGATGATGAGGTGACCCTCACCCTTCTGTTACCACCTAACTGACCCTCTGTGCTGAACCTGCTTCCTGCTCCTGTCTGCAGGTCCAGCTGCCTCCTCCCCTACCCATCTCCTAGCTCTGAGGATATGGAACATGGCTACCGCCCCACTCTGCTATGCAGTCTCCCCTCACTGCTTCTCCTTGTGCAGCTGTCCACATGGGGCTCTGCAGGTAAGTGTGTCCCTGTCTCTCCTCCCTTTGATTGAAGGAGGCCCTGATGCTCTCTTGTAGGATGGGATGAGATTTGGGGGCCCAGGTCTGAAAGAGTATGGTGCTCCCAAACCCTGAGGCTTGTTACATGTTTAAGGTAAGTCAATAAACATTAAAGAGTTTGAGGGATCTTGAAAAATGTCCAAGTATTTTTCTGATATGTGTTTAAAAAGTAAGCATTAGAAAAACCTAAAGATTACATTTTTCTAATTCCTGGTTTCTTTCTTGCCCAGGCATGCTCAGCAGTCACTGATCCCCCAAGCCGTGTCATTGTGTGCCCACTCTGTGCCAGTACTGTCTGAGAGCCCTTCACATAGAGCTGTGCTCTTCCCCCTGGGACTTTCCTTCTATCAGGGACAGTGAGCAGCTCTCAGGCCTGTGTCTGTGACAGGAAACAAGTATAGGGAAACAAGGCAGGACAGGGAACCTGTAGGCAGGGGTGCCGGAGGTGTGTGAGAGCAGCAGCCACATTCAGAGACAGGCAGTGTAGATAGAGAGCGGATCAGGATGTGGGGTAGGGGTTAGCTGTGAGGATAGGTATGAAAGATAGTTCCACAGAGGCAGCCTATGAGAGGCTGCAGTGTGCCTGGGTATGAGGAGCAGCAGAGCATACTGGTTCTGGAGTGGAGAAGCAGGAACTGTGGTCGGGGCAGGATTGGGTACACTTGCTGGGCCTGGGGACACTGGGGAACAGAAGTGCCTTGGGCAGAGTAGGGATGCAGATCTCAAATATTGTACTGGGGAGAGAGCCATGTGCCTGGTCTACTGCCATCACCTGGTGAGAGACGAGGTTGGCTGGGCCAGGGTGGAGCAGCACAGTGCTGAGGGGGCCCCTGGCATATATATCTTGGCGCATGGTAACTTGTCTTGCAGCAGGGTGCTCCCGTGACTCTGTCACGAGGCTCAGATGCCAAGGGAGAGGACATAGAGATGATGGCTGACCTTCTCCTTTCCCCCTTTTTTCTTTAAAGTTTATTTTATTTAAAAAGGCAGAATTTCAGAGAGAGAGAGAGAGAGAGAGAGAGAAAGAGAGAATAAGAGAATGAGAGATGTTTTTCATTTGTTGTTCTACTCCCCATAGAACCACAATGCTTGGAGCTGGGCTGGTCTAAAGCCAGAAGCATTTTCTGGGCCTCCCACATGGGTGCAGGGCACATGCACTCAGGCCATCCTCTGCTACGTTCCCTGGCACATCATCAGGGAACTGAATAGAAGCAGAGAAGCAGGAACACAAACAGGTTCCAAATATGAGACACTGGTGTCCCAGTTGGCTGCCTTATTAGCTATACTCAGTGCTGGCCCCAAGGGCAGGGTTACTGTAGAAATATCCTTGGAGTTTGTTTTAGATTAATTTCAAATTTAGTGGGTAAGATTAATATGTGTAGAAGCAATAAACTTAGATGTGGGAGTGGACATTTCTAAGGGTGTGGCTGAAGGATTTAGGAGTTCTGAAGAAGCCCCAGATATGTGCTGTGGTCAGTGTCCAGCATGTCCTCATACACACCAAGTCAGAGCTGTGGATCTCCAAGTGTGGTTTCTGGACCAACAGTGTCAGCTACCGGAGGGGTGCTTAGAAATTTCTGTACTCATTCCAGACACGTGCACCATGAGGATAGGGTCTTGGATTTGAGTTTTACAGTCTGACTTTTGATTCTGGTGTATGCTCAGGAATGAGACCCATAGAGGTAGAGGTTTCTTCTCATGGGACAGCCTGGGGCCAGTAGCCAGGCAATTGAGGGCATCCATGATGTCATTTCTGGGCCATGTACTCATGATCTGAGATCCTATTCAGATACAGAGTTATCACTACTCAGTCCTCATCCTTGGGGTCCCACCTTCAGCACCTGTTCCCAGTCTGCCTGTTCCCCCTCTTGATGGTCTGTGTGTCTGTCCTTGATCTATGTCTCCCAGTGTTCTCTGTCTTGTGTTTGCGTCCACAGATGAATTCCTGGTAGCTGGTCCAACCGACCCTATAGTGGCAGTGTTGGGTGGTGATGCCACTCTGCCCTGCTTCCTGTCACCAGTCATGAATGCAGCGGACATGGATCTGCGGTGGTTCCGTTCCAAGTTCTCAGAAGCAGTGCTCATCTATCAGAATGGCCAGGAGCAGAATGAGGAGCTGATGCCCCAGTATGCAGGGCGGACCTCACTGGTGAGGGATTTCCTTTCCCTGGGGCAGGCTGCTGTGCGCATCCAGAATATCCAGGTTTCAGACAACGGGAAGTACACCTGCTTTTTCCAGAAGGGAGATTACTATGAAGAAGACATTTTAGAATTGAAGGTGGCAGGTTGGTGTCTTAGTCTGTATTCTAGACACAGACCTTGGGTAGATTGGTTTTGGCAGAAAACTCATGCAATTTAACATTTTACTTTGTAGTGAGAAAGAGCCAGTTCATTTACTGATTTATATTTGAAATACTAATCTTAAAAAGTAAATATTATTTATTTTTTAAGGCAGCCTGAGAGAGAGCATGTGCGTGAGAGAGAGAGAGAGAGAGAGAGAGAGATCTTCTCCCAACCTGTTCATTCATTTGACTGCAATGCAGTGGAAATTGGAGGTAGAAGGTTTTTACAGGTCTCCTGTGTAGGTGCAGGGTTCCAAGTCCTAGGTCATTTTCTACAGCTTTCCCTGACTCACTAACAGCATGCTGGATGAGGAATGAGGCAGAAACAGGGACAGAAGCTCAGCTGCTGAGGCAGAGCACCAACCTTGTCAATATTAATCCCAAATGTATAGCTCCTTATGAATGCCATGCCTTGCTCTAGGCACCAAGGTCAGTAAAGATCCTTGCCCTTGCTGTGTATATTCCAGAGGCTGAGATAGAAAAAGCAAAATAAATAAATAAACGGATGATATTAGGTGGGGACAAGTGCACCAGGAGTTGGGGATCAGGATATGGGGTGGGGAATGAAGGTAACTGTGCAGTTACACAGTGTTGCATGCGTGGCTTTATGGATGATCTGAGCATGGCTCAAAAGATGTAGGTATAGTGTCTTACATGTTTCTGGAGGCACAGTATTTGATACAGGGAGGTACCCAGAGTGAAACCCTTGGTGTGGGAGTGTGTGTGAGATTTACTCTTGGCACACCAGGAGGCCATTGGAGGAGGTGGGAGCTATGATGGAGATGGCAAGAATGACTATATTGTAATTAAGACATGGTCTGTCCTGGAATAACACTGTTCACTGTGAACAGGAAAAATCATTCAGCCTAAGTACTTGTGCAGGCACCTGAGTACTGCAGTGAGATTCCAAGAGTCCCCTGTGGATTGCACATGAGAGGGCAGTGGCCTGCACAGCCTGCTGATGAGGCCAATCATGATTAATCAAGCAGTTCTTCAGGCTAGGTGTGTCTGTCCTAAGGGCAAAGATGTTGGGGCTTGGAGTACTGCAGATAAATTGGGTCAAAATGTAGAAGATACCAGAGTAGTGCTGAGGCAAAGACAATGGCACCAATACTTTTCAGACCTCTGCTTGTCACATTAATCTCCTACTGCCAAATAAATCACATGACCAACACCAGAGTCAGAGTGTGAGGAATTTGGTAGAGGACAAGCTCTATCACAAATGAGTCAACATTGTATATTTGTTTCTGAAATGTTTAGTTCTAAGAGTCTTTAAGGAAACCTAGTTGAGGTAGTTCATAGTGATGTACATATGAGGCAAAGAAGTTGAGGAGGTGTATAACTCTGAAAGTGATTTATTTAAAAGAGAAGCTTTGGGATAGAAGTAGATGCTTTAGGAGTGTGTGAGATGAAGACTAGAAATTGAGGATGCAGTCCTGGGAAAAAACATCTACTGTTGTCTCTGACTCTCAGTAATAAAAGTGCCATAGCTCATGCCTCCTAAAGGTCCCAGGGCTCTTGGTCTCTTTTGTGGCATGCCTTTTCCATGGCGTCCCCAGAATGCAACACAAGTGACTCCTGAAGGTGGGCAGCACTAGACTTTGCTGAGACCATGTGCCCCACATGGGTCTCCAAGACTTCCACAGCTCCCCTCTTGCAGGCCTGGGCTCTGCCCCACAAGTGCACATTGAAGGGCCAGAGAAGGACGGAGTTCATGTGGTGTGCAAGGCCTCAGGGTGGTTCCCGAAGCCCCAGGTGCAGTGGAGAGACGTCCGTGGAGAGAAGCTCCTGGAGTTCTCTGAGACCAACACCCAAGATGCAGCAGGGCTGTTCAGCGTGGAGGCTGCTCTGGTGGTGAGAGACAGCTCTGCAGGGGATGTGACCTGCTCCATCCTCAATCCCATCCTGGGCCAGGAGAAGGTCATGGCCATTCCCATCCCAGGTCAGTGCTGTCTGTCCTTCTCAGCAGGTTTAGAGAGGGGGTGTCCCTGGGTGTGCTGGTTGGGCTTGGGTCCTCCCCTGACTGTGTGTCCCACTGGGCACAGAGCCCTTTTTCCCTCAGGCCTCTCCCTGGAAGGCAGCCTGTGCTGTAAGCCTGACTGTGCTGGGGCTGCTACTGGTTGTGGCTGGCTTTGTCACCAAGAGAGAGCATTCTGCAAAGGTGCAGGAGAGGCAGAATTGGAACGATCTGAAACGGGCTAAGGAGGAAGACCAGCAGGCAAAGGAGGAGGCTCTGAAGGTCATAGGTAAGCAGGGCGGGGCCAGGCAGGATTGGGCCAGGCAGGGTGGGGGCAGAAAATGTGCTGAGAGGGACAACCTTGAATGATTGGTGTCTATGGGTGCAGCTGCAGGGGGCATCCAGGACATCAGGCACAGAGCAGATGCTGTGCAGGAACAGAAAAGATGGGGTAAAAGGGGAAGAAGTATGAAGGTGTGAGTGGGTTTGGAGTCAAAACTTTTGTAGAACACAGAGAATGTTTGGAATCACATGCAGAACAGAGAAAGGGACAGGGTAGGCATTCATAGTCAAATTGGATTTATTATTAAAGAGAAAAACAAATCTATGGAGGGTGGCTGGTAGAAGTCTGATGGCTACAGTGTCAAATGGAAGGGTCCCTGAGGAGATTGCTTTTGGCCATTCAAATGACTGCAGAGCAGGACCTGTTTTTTTTTTTTTTTTTTAAGATTTATTTACCTTGAAGATTTAAAAATAATATTTGGAAGCACACACACACACACATATATATACATAAACTTATGTAAGTATATTTATATAATCAGATATATGAGAAAGAGAGAGAGAGAGAGTGAGAGAGAGAGAGAGAGAGAGAGAGAGAAATCTTCCATTTAAGTGTTTTTTTTTTTCTTTCTTCAAATGGGCATAATAGCCGGGGCTAGGAGAGGCCAAAGCTAAGAGCCTTTAGTTTTATCCAAGCAAGGCCCATGTGGTTGCTTTCCCACAGTGACTAGCAGGAAACTGTTTCTGATGGAACAGCATGTACTTGGAAGGCGTTGAGATGGGATGGCCAATGCTGTAGGCAGTGGGTTAATGTATTGAGTCAAAAAACTGCTCCCTCACCAGAGAAGGTTTTTGCTGTGGGGTCTCCAGACACATTGTCTCTCTTCTTCCTGGTGTGGAGTTCACGGTGTTTCCACTCTCTTTCAGATGAGCTCCAGGCAGAACTCGGTAAGCTCTGCTCTCCCTCCTGACTCTGTCCCTTGGAGAGGACACTGTGGCTCTCAGTTCACTTGTTCCCTGTGTGCTTTTCAGGTAGGAGGAAGGCAGCGTACCAGGCTGGTGAGTGACTTTGGAGATGTCCTGAGGCTTCCTGTCCCACTGAGCCCAGCTGTATCCCCTCCTTGTTTGTGTCTAGACACAGGCCCTTCTCTCTGCTGACTGCAGTGTTTGGTGGTGGGAGGTAGAGACCTGCTCACAGTGCTTTTTCTCATCTGTGCAATTGTTTCCTGTCTATGCTTTAGGACAAGGGTATGAAATGTCCCAAGCAGAGCATACTGCATCCTGTTTTACTCCAATTCTGTCCCATTCTTCTTATGAGGATTGTTAATGTTTAGCCTGCAATGCACTGATCCATTGATGTGCACCAGGAAGCCAAAAGCAGACGCTCTAGATTTCATGAGAGGTGGGATATAAATGAATGGCTCATTGATTTTGGGAATGTGAGCTCCCATCTTATTCCCAAAATGCCACCAGCAGAACCATTTCTCTGCTGTTTCTCACAGGTACATTTGAGAATGGATAGGGAGAGGCCTGGGCTGCTGACCAGGTATGGGAATGTAATGGGGGGTGAATATTTCTGTGAGTAGTGATGCTTCTCTCCAGAAATATTGTATGAGGATTTTGAGTCTTCTCATTCTGGTTTCATTTTTCATTTTGAGGATTTATTTTATTTAGTTGAATGAATTACATTGAGAGAGTGAGAGTCAAAAAGATGTCTTCCATCTGCTGGTCACTCCACAAAAGGTTGCAACCAGGAAGTTTTTGCTGGTTTCCTACATTTGTGCAATGGCCCAGGCACTTGGACTTTCCTCTTCTGCTTTTCAATATGCATCAGGTGGGACCTGGATTAGAAGCGGAACTACTGAGTTTTAATTTGGACTTTATGTTGCACTGCAGGTGTTAGGTTAATGTTCTATACTATGGAGTCAGCCCCTTATTCTCCTTTTGTATTCAAATCTGTTTCCTGGAAATGCTATTTAATAATCAATTGTGACAGAGTCAGTTATGCTTTTCATTAACTTTTTAAATCATATGCAGTTCATTTTTTTTTCTTATAAGCATCATTGAGGAGTAAATGACATAGGAAGTTGTGGGCTTTGAGGCCCAGGACAGGGAGTTGATAGTCACATGTCAAAAAGCAAGGGTAAGGGAAAGCAACTGCACCTGTAGCCAGGCTTCCTGATCTATGGCCCAGGGAATTTCCCACTGTCCTCTGCTGTCTGACATCGCAGGAGACCATCCTCTGCAGCCTCCCTCCTCCTGCTGTCTCTCCCCTCAGCACAGAGGGCAGGTGGGGGCTGAGCAGGTGGTGGCTGTGGTCTCACAGGTGTGTTTCCTTTCAGCCTGGAGGAAGGCGCTTCTGTATGCTGGTAAGTGAACTGACATTTCCTCTGCCACCCCCCTCTTCTGCTCTGCCCTGCCCTTCATCTGTCTTTGGACCTCCCTCCCCCCACCCCCCACAGCATGAGAGAGGGGTCCCCAGTCTCCCTGTCCCTGTTGTGGCCTTCATGGGAGGACAACAGGGGCTTGTCCTTGGGAGCACAGCTCTGCCTCCATTCTGGGCTCTCCCTCTACTGCAGGTCACTGTTACGTTTAGCGACACTCTCTGAAAGCCCTTCTTTAGATGATCCTTCATTGGTGTGATTCCCCCGGTGAGAGAGCAGCAGAGTGACAGCTCTCCAGATCAAGAATTGCTGGTCTCTAAAAATGCTGGAAGCCACACCCGCCTGTTATACCTCAGATGTCACTAAGAGGGTTGTTAGTTCTATCCCTTTTTATCCCCAGATTGCTATGCTGCAAGTAGCAGTTTTGCTTTCCTATCTCTTCTTGGTTTTCTTGGATGCTGCTCTTTTTGTTTCATACTTTGATCACTGTTCAAGCTTTGTGTCTTCCTCTACACATATTTGGTTGCTGAGGAATGAGTTACTCTGAGTAAATTTTCTAAATATGGAAACAGACCATCCAGGTTGTTTGTGGATAGATGTTTTTGTTGGTATCTGTGAAATATCTGAAATGATGTGCAGCATTCTGAGTATTCTGTATGTATTACTTGTCAGGCAGGGAGTGGCTGAATGAGGGTAAGCAGGTCTCCTGTGAGTTTAATTGCCATTCCTCTATATATGTCAACTGATTTTTTTTTTCACTAGCATTTAAGGATATTTTCCTTCTGTTCAATTGAAGAGAGCTTGATTATTATGTGTTGTGGTGAAGATCGCTTTTGGTCTGCTCTGTTGGGAGTTCTGTGCCTCTCCTGGATGTTGTTTTTCAATTCATTCTGCAGATTAGGAAAATTTTTCTTTAATATTTCATTGAATATGTTTTTCAAACCAAGTTTCTGTTTTTGCACATCCTAGGGGACTCCCATAACTTTTATATTTGGCTTTTTAATAGTGCCTTTCAATTCTTGAATAATTTTTTTTTTAGCTTGACCCAGCTCCTCTTCCAGCTTTTTATTTGTTTCCCCCCTGGTGACAGGAAATATCTTCCAATTCTGAGATTCTTTTTTTTTTTTTTTGCTGCGTTCAGTTATCAAGACTTTCCACTGAATTTTTAATTTGCTCCGTTAAAAATTCCCAATAATTTGGCTTGATTTTGTTTCAGTGTTGCTATTTCCTGTGTGACATACACCTTAAATTCCTTGAACTCTTTTATGTGCTTTTCATTGTTGATAAGAAGCTTTATAATGAATTTTCTGATTTCTGTGTTCCCCATTTTCACAATGTCTTCGTAAATTAACTCTGAGGTTGGCAAAGGATTTTGCTCTGTTGCAGGGGATTCTTCAGTAATATTCATTGTGCCTCTGTCTCTTCTTTTGCTCTTGGTCCTTGTGCTTCTGGTTTGCAGATTTTTCTCATTAGGGCAGGTTTCTAAGATCTGTCACCCACAGATCTACAATTCAATTTAGTTGTTTTGGTTGGTACCCAGATCTGTGTTTGCAGTCACTTCTGCCACTCCCTCCAATGAGTGGCCACCTGTACAATTCACTGAACTTAGTGAATTTGCTTCCAGCTCAGTGCACAAACAGCTCATTGTTGTCCCTGTAGTCTCAGAGCCTTTACTACACTGTACAAAATGGTGCCTGATGTGCCACTCATGGAGTTCTTGATCTACTGGCCATTAGTTCTGGGGCTACCTGACTTATGTTGGGTGAAACCTATAGGATGTCACATTGTTGCAATTCACTGAGCCAGAAATGAGTTTGTTTCCACCTTATTGCATACACAGTTCTGCTCAATAGCCTTTGCCTCTCTACACACCATTATGCCAAGATCAACTTTGTTGGGTGTCTGAACTGTTAAATCCGTCTTGTTTCTGCATTACCATTTTGGGATCTGCTGCTTTGTTTCTGTTCTTGGTCAAATCAAACAAACCAGCAGGACAGGCAGTTTCTTGCCTGGGTTTACCTGCTGATCCCCAATGAACTCCTGTTCCCACCTGGTTGCTGGTGCAGTTCACTGGTGCAGTAGAGATCACTGCTGGGTATGTTAGTGTGATACCTGGTCACTACAACACCATTGTAGTTACTGCTGCTTTCCCATGTCTGCCAGTCTCCAGGTGCTACTCTGCCTTCTGTCAGTCCTTTACTATTTTCTAGATCCCCTCTCTGCTTCAACCATGCTAATGTTTGTCTATAAAAGGTGGTCTTTCCATATTCTGCTATCTTTTAAGTATCTGAATGAGGGGAGAGAGAGAAATTGAGAGAGAGAATGAAAGCTCACTCTCATTTGTTTCTCTACTCTGTAATTGCCGTATTATCCAATTATCCAGGATTGTTCAGTGCTATTCTGAGGCCAAATACAGGAGCCGGGAACTTGTTTTTAAACTCCCACATGGGTGGCAGGGATATAACTATGTGATCCATTATCTGCTGCCTCCAACAGTGTGCAGGCAGGAAGAAAGCATTGGGAGTTGGAGCTGGATTTGGGCATCAGGGCCAAGCTCTCAGACATGTATAGTGCAGAACCTAATCAGTAGCTCTACTGTAAGCCATGAAGCCTAATGGCTACCGATTAGTAGGTGCTTTTTTTTTTTTTTTTTTTTTTTTTTAGAAAAACAAGAACAAAAATGTGATGTAGTATTTTTCACACCCATTTCTCCTACTTCAGTAGAATTTCTTATGTGCCTAAGGGTTCATTCTTTTTAGGGGTAATGTGCATTGTAACAGGTCTCACTGGGATAAATGCATGTGAGTCCATATTCCTTTCTCAGTCTGGCCTCTTCCAGCCTTCAGCCTGGTGTGGTTCAGGGCCCCAGTGCTCTGTTTTTAAATTCAACAATGTTTGCATTTTACAGATTTTGTTTTTATCGTAGTATAACTTCTGAGCACACACAGATTGAGAACCGTTTCTGAGTTCATCTGGTTAGAATAAGCACCATTGGATAATGCAGTGAACTCTTCTAAATTAAAGTTCTGAACCTGTATCCCACCAGCAAAGCTCTCTTACTGTCACAGTCACAGGTTCTAGGGACACAGATATGGTCAGCTCTGGGAGTCAGCCTCTATGTCCCAAGTTAGTCAATAGCATTCCCTCCGCCATGGGTTAGAAGCAGCCTGAAGTTCAGATTAGTCAGTACTCTGTACATAAATGAAATTGAATAATATACATAATTGGGATTTTGATACCCCTGATTTACTCTCAGATAAATATAGGTTTCAGGATGATTTTGTGGCTAGGAAATTTACACAGATTGATAGTAAAATGTGGGTAATGGTTTTTTTTGTTGACGTCAGAGTCCAGTTTCTCATTTCTGCGATGTTACCTTTATGTTTGCCCTTTGCAGGAAGGATTCTGCTCTGCTGTGTGTGTATGTACAAACATTTCCCATCACTTGCACATCCCTGTCTCAGTTGAGCAGATGCTGAGTTGATGTGTGCAGTCTGTGCAGAGCCTGATATAAGTGTGTTTTCTCTTGTAGATTGGCGGAAGGAAGAGTTCCAGGCCTGTGAGTGACTTCATGGTCTTCCTGGGTGCTTCTCCTGTGGCCCCATGCCTGTTGCTTCTTTTTTTAGTTCCCTGAGGTGATGTAGATGCTGATACCATTAGCAGTGCTGGGGTTGGGACTGAAAGAGAAGAATACTGGGTCTGCTTATCAGATCTTTGTGACACATGAGTGTCAGAGAGCACTGTGGTTCTTTTCCCCGCTTGGGCATAAAAGGTTGAGTTCCAGGGTTCTTAGCTCAGGGCCTTGCCCTTTCCCCATGCAGCTTGGAGCTCTGAAAATAATTGGGCACCTTGTTTATGAGGTAAGAAAAGACCTTGCCTGATTGGGAGTTCTTTCTGCAGGGTCTGTCACTCTGGATCCAGGCACTGCCCATGCCGACCTTGCCATCTCTGCTGAAGGAACCAGTGTGACCTGGAGGGGCATCTGTGTGAACTCAGATGTCCGCTGCAGTGTGTTGGGTTTTAAGAGCATCACATCAGGAAGATGTTACTGGGAGGTAGAGATCAGCAATGGAACAGTCAGCGAGTGGACTCTGGGGGTCTGTAAGCAGAATGTGTTAAGGATAGGGCCATATACAGAATCCCCAGAGAAGGGGTTCTGGGTTATAGGGAGATTTATAGATAAATACTATGCCTTCACCAAGGAACATATAGCTCTATCCCCTAAGCAGGATCTCTGCAGAGTGGGAGTCTTCCTGGACTATGATAAACGGGACATCTCCTTCTATAACATGACTGATGGGTCCCACATGCACTCATTTCCCCCAGCATCCTTCTCTGAACCCCTGTTTCCATATTTCAGTATTAAGTCAGGAGCTGTGACCCTGAGCATCTGCTCTCCAGTGGGTGGGTCTGAGAAGTGCCCTGTGACCCCGAGTGATTCTCCTGCTTTGGTGGAAGCTGGCACGCCCGCAGGGGAGTGGCTCAACCCTGGCTCTGGTACTGTGGGTGCTCCCCCAGGGGCTGAGTCTCCATTACTTCTCTGCTCCCCATAGGGCCCCTCCCTCCCTTACACCTTAGTGTGACCCTTCTGTTGCAGCTGACTTCTTGTGACAAAAGCCTCTGTGGAATGTCCTGGATGTCCCAGTAGCCTTTAAAATAAATAATCAAATCTGTTAATTTTTTTTTAAGATTTAGTTATTTATTTGAGGGTGATGGAAAGAGAGAGAATGAGATAATAGTTTTAGAATATCGTCCATGTGCTGGCTTGCCTCCCAAATGGCTCCAAGTGGCTGGGATGGAGCTGAACCAAATTAGAAGCCAAAAGATTCTTCCTCCTTTCTCTTGTGAGAAAGGCAGAGATCCTTTATATGTGCTTTAGATCATTGTATTTTTCTCATTTTTCCAATTTGTTCTCCATAAATATTCCTTCCCCTGCTCCCTCTCATTCTTAAACATTCAAACTCAATTTGTGTTTAGAATTTGTGTTGAATAAATGGACATTCCTCACCAGCCTGTCTCCAGTGTTTCTTATGGCCAAGGAAAATCATTGTCTTGCCCTCAGTGACCTGTAAGTCTGCTGGCATTTAAGCCCTGATACAAATGGACTTAATTGATATTGACATAACCTTTCATGCTTGAGAGGACATACTTTTCATTCGTATGTGAAACTTTCTTCAGGATTGATCTTATTACAGGCCACAAAAAAGCCTCAGTAAGTTAAAAAAAAATAAAATTATACATGCATCTTTTGAAACCATCATGGAGTAAAACAGGACACTAACAAGTTAAAATATGCCAAAAATATGCAAATACTTATAGCTTGAGTAATGTGCTGTTGAATGAACAGTGGTTTGTAAAATAAATCAAAACAGATATTAAAATTTGTTGAAATGAAGGAAGGTAACAACACAGCACAACATATTAAAATATATGGGGGGCCCAGCAAGATAACCTATTGTCTAAAGTCCTCACCTTGGGATCGCTAATGGCTGCTGCTTCTAATCCTGGCAGCCCCGCTTCCTATTTAGCTCCCTGCTTGTGGCTTGGGAAAGCAGTAGAGGATGACTCAAATCCTTGGGACCCTGCACTCATGTGGAAAACCTGGAAGATGTTCCTGGCTTTAGATTGGTGCAGCTCAGACCATTGTGGCACTTTGGGAGTGAATCAATAGACAGAAGATCTTCCTCTCTGTCTCTCTTCCTCTCTGTATATGTGACTTTCAAATTAAAAAAATAATAAATAAACCTTTAAAAATATGAGAGATAATCAAGTCAGTGTTAATAGGAAAGTTCATCTCAATCAATGCTTATGTCAAGAGATTAGAACAGCACCAAGTAAATGAGCTAACCATACTGATGAAGGGGCTACAAAAACAACAGCAAAGCAATTCCAAGACTAGTGGGGAAAAATAAATCACCAAAAACTGAAATAGAAAACAAAAGAACAATATATAAGGTCAATGAATCAAAAAGCTGGTTCTCTTAGAAAATTAACAAAATAAATTTCCCAGTAGCCCAACTAATCAAAAAAGGAAGAAGATGCAAATCAATAACATCAGAGACAAAAAAGGAAATAATGGTTACCATAGAATTATTAAGAACTATTACAAGCAACTATATGACAACTAATGTGAAAACCTAGGAGAAATGGACAGATTTTTGGACATACATAATCTACCAAAATTGAATCATGAAGCAATTAATAACTAAATAGACCTATTATAAGGAATGAAATTAAATCAGTAAGTAAATCCCTCTCAACCAGGAAAAGCCCTAGACCAGATGACTTCATTGCAGAATTGTACTGAATGCTTCAAGAAGAACTTACTCCAATCTCCCACAAGCTATTCTAAGCAATACCAAGGGGGGCAATCCTTCAAAACTCTTTTTATGAAGCCAATATCACCTTAAAACCAAGCCAGATAGAAATGAAACAGAAAAAGAGAACTACAGACAAATAGCCCTGTTGAACATAGACATTAAGATCCTCAACAAAATACTAGCCAACAGGATCCAACAGTATATCAGACAGACCATTCACCCAGACCAGGTGGGATTTATCCCTGGCTTGCAAGGATGGTTTAACATTCACAAATTAATAAATGTGATACATCATATCAACAAACTGAAAAATAAAAACCATATGAGGGACTATACTACTGCAATAATCTTGGAGAAAGCAGTGAGGAAAGGGTTTTTTAGGGGGAGGGTAAACACCAGAGCCTAAGGAACCGCATTGTAATAATAATAATTACAGTAAAAAGCCCATGTGATCATCTTAATAGATACAGAGAACGCATTTGATAAAATTCAACACCACTCATGCTAAAAAGCTTAAGTAACAGGCATAAAAAGAACATTATATAACACAATTAGAGGTGTGTATAAACAACCTGATACCAGCTTCATACTAAATAAGGAAAGACTGGAAGCTTTCCACTAAAAACTGGAACTAAACAAGTATGTCAACTTTCACCACTGTTATCCAATATGTTATTGAAAATCCTTGCCAGAGCTATTAGACAAGAAAATCAAATTAAAGGAATTCAAATCAGGAATCAGGAATTTAAATTATCTCTGTTTTGACATGACATGATTCTCTACCTTTTGAAACAAAAGGTTCAATTAAGAGACTATTGAAACTTATAAGAGAATTTGGCAAAGTATCATGATTCAAAATTTATAACAAATTGATGGCACTAGTATACATAAAAAACTTCATTCCTGAGAAAGAAATTATAAATATAGTACTCTTTAAAATAGCACTGAGGATTCTTAAACAACTTGTAATTAACTTAATCGAAGATGTGGAAGACCTCTGTAATGAAAGTTATAAAATATTTAAAAAAAAGAGAAATGGAAGAAGACATTAAAACATGGAAAGGCTCACTGTGTTACTGGATCAGCAGGATCATCATCAAAATTTGTGTATTACCAAAATAATACACAGATTCATTCCAACCCCATTAAAAATCCCAACATTCCTTCTGGAAATAAAAAAGATGGTACAAAAGTTTATCTGGGAGTAGAAGAGACCATGAATAGCAAACACTATCCCAATGAATAAAAATTAAGCTGGAGGAATTACATTTCCAGATCTTAAGCCATATTACAGGGCAGTGATCATCAAAATAGTCCAACACTGGTAGAGAAACAGAGAAGACAATGAGGCAGAATAGAAACCCCAGCAGGGAACCTACAATGCGGTCAACTGAATTTGACAGAAGAACTGAACATGATTCGGGGAAAAGCCTATTCTCTTGAAAAAATGCTGTTGGGACATTTGAATAGCAGCCTGAAGAGGTAAGAAGTAAGATCTCCACCTATCAATTTACACGAAAGTTACCACAAGTTATCAAAGATCTAATTCTTTACCCAGAAAACTTATAAGTATTAGAGAAAAACATAGAAAGCACTCACTAAGACACAGAAATAAGGGAAGACTTTTTAGAAAAGTCACCAAAAGCACAGGCAATCAAAACCAAAGACATATTAAAGGTGTCTGCAGATGTTTCATTGCTGTTTTACTTTTAGTTTCTGTGATTTGTGACACTAGTCATAAAAAATATTCCTGCCAGCCATTTGGTTTCTAGTTTTTGAGAAATATCTGTTTGGATCTTTGGACCTTTGAAATATTTCTTCATCGAGGGCCTGGCGCAGTGGCATAGTAGCTAAAGTCCTCACCTTGAACGTGCCAGGATCCCATAAGGGTACAAGTTCTAATCCCGGCATCCCCACTTCCCATCCAGCTTCCTGCTTGTGGCCTGGGAAAGCAGTTGAGGACGGTCCAAAGCCTTGGGATCTTGTACCTGCATGGGAGACATAGAAGAGCTCCTGGCTTAGATTGGCTCAGCTCAGGCCATTGCGGTCACTTGGGGAGTGAATCATGGGTGAAAGATTTTCTTCTCAGTCTTTCCTCTTCTCTCTATTTATCTGAATTTGCAATAAAAATAAATAAATCTTAAAAAAATATTTCTTCACTTGAAATGTTGGGCCTTGGGAGAGGGGGAGATAAGATAGATAGATAGATAGATAGATAGATAGATAGATAGATAGATAAATAGAAAGATAGATAGAAAGATAGATAGGTAGGTAGATAGATAGATAGATATCCAAATGGCAAACAAAAGCCAAGAAAAAGCCGAGTCTGGAACTTCATTCAGTTTTCCCATGTGGGTGGAAGAGGGCAAATTACTTGAACCATTTTTCATCTTTCCAAGGTTAATTGACAGGAATGGGATTGAAAGTAGAGCAGACTGAACTTGAACCAACATTCATTTGCTAACATCGTTAACTATGATTTAACCCACTCACACATAATGCTGGCCTCTGATACGTTTTTCAATTGAGTTATTTCCTTCTTTTGAATTGAGTTCTTTGTACTTGTATATACTTTTTAGTATAGCCTCATCAGTTTGACAATATTCCCTCCCAATCCAGGAACTGTTTCATTTACTGTGCAGAAGATTCTTAGTTTTATGTAAAGCATTTGTTTACTTTGCTTTTTCTTTTGTTATTTATGCTTTGGTCATGTCTTAAATATTCTTATAATTATTGTCCAGAGTCCAGACCAATGTTTTAGAGATTTTTCTCTATTTTCTTCTAGCAGCTTTGCAGTTTCTGTGCTTATGCTTAAGTCTTTTAAAATACATTTAACTGAGAGAATAAAGATGGCAGAGTGGGGTAAGGACATGTTTAAACAGAGAAATATTAGTCAATATGAAGCAGCAAACAGGAAAGATCAGAACAACAGCAGAAGGGTACCTGGACACTGACAGACACACGAAAGCAGTGGACACAGCAGTGTGGTGTTGCAGTGACTGATACTCCAGTGACATTCAGTGAGCCATGATCTAAATTCCACTGGCAGCTGGAACTCCACCAGCAACAAGGTGGGAAGGAGTGTTTTCCAGCAGCTCAGGTGGTGAGCTCAGACAAAGAATTGCCCATCCTACTGGTCTGTTTGACTTGACCAGGAGCAGAGAGAATAGCAGATCCCAGAAGGGCAATTGGGGAAGAGTGGATTTCACAGTCCAGTCTGTCCCCTAGATCCT